TCCTCCTCCTCACTGACCCTCCATACCCCAGCCCCGCTGCTCTTCCTCCTCCTCCTCACTGACCCTCCATACCCCAGCCCCGCTGCTTGTGCCCGTTTGTTAAGTGTTCTGTGCAGGAAAGTAGTTACACATTTCCAGATTCTAACAATGAGCAACCGCCAGGCTGTGGCACTCTCACACCGACAGGGCAAGACGAAGACGAACTCTCTGCACCATGAGGGCCGGTTTCAATACCCTCCCGATGGGGAGGCGAGGCAGAGCAAACGGATATTAATACGGGCAGTCGTGCTCGTGACGCAGTAATGGATTCATGGATGACTCCTACAGTATGAGGGCCAGGTTCAATACCCCAGGCTCCGCCCCCCATCTCCGGTTGGGCAGGCAGGGCTCCACCGAGACCAGGAGGGTTCAGTCTGTAACATGGAAGAACAGACAGATCAACAGCCGGGCCAGACGAAAGGATTCCGATAGACCCAGGTCACCACAGGTCATGTGACGAGGGAGAGACCCCCCCCCCACCCTTCGTCGCAGCGAGGCATGGGGGTTCCCCAGCTGCTGGCCCGCTGCTGGCAGAGCTCTGCCAGGGACAGGGCTGGGATCGGGCGTCTCGGCTCCGGGTGAAGCCACCCCCGAGACCCCAGCAGTCCGGCAGACGGGTTCGAGGGCAGTCAGACGGGCGTCGCTGTGAACCCAGCCCGAAAGGCAGCGCGATGGGGCCGTGATCACCAGCACCACCGCGAATGTCCGGCTCTCCCACGAGCTGCAGCACCGCAGCGACTCTCTGTCCGAGCAGCGCTTGCCCACGGTCAGGATCTGCGAAAGCTTGACGCGATCACCTGTTAATGTCAGCACAGCACCCAGTACTAATTCCAGAGCAGTGATATCTTTTCTATAATATATAGAAGATCACTTTATTGGCCAGGGGAGAAATATGCAATTTGCAGGGGAAAAATATGCAGTTTCTTGTATGAGGAATTCATCTTTTCACATACCCCAGCTTGCTCTCCATGAGAGACACAGACGGAGAGAAGCTTGGGGTCAGAGCACAGGGTCTGCCATTGTACAGCGCCCCTGGTGCAGCTGGGGTTAAGGGCCTTGCTCAGGGGCCCAGCGGAGTAGGATTCCTCTGCCGGCCGTGGGATTTGAACCGGTAACCAGTCACAGGCGCAGATCCTGAAGAAAAGCCCTAAAGCCCTTTACAGCCAGTGGGGACTCCCCTCCACCCCACCTGGATGATGCCTAACATTCTAGTTTTCCTACTTCCTAGTCCTCGAGGTCTCAGTCCTTTCCACCAGTGTAGGTTTCCTCTCTGTTCATGTTGGACTCCCCCGGGATCGTCAGATATCATTGCGGCGTGCTGCTTGCTGTCTCTTCTCCCTCTCCCTCCGTCTTGAAACCCTCCCTCCTCTCCCCCAGCTTCGGGTATCCCGATCCCACCTACCTGGTGCGCGTGACGGAAGAGCTGCGGGAAAAGGGGATCACGGCCGACTGAGGCAGGAGGAGGAGGAAGAAGCTGGGATTCGGGATGGGATTGTCTGGACAAGGCTTGGGACCCTCAGATGGGCTCCCGGAGAACTGTCCTGGCGCGATCGGACAGCCCCCTTCCACGCCCACCTGTGTGCCGGTACAGTAGAGGTCATGCAACACAGCGGACAATTCCCGATTCCGGGATCTGGCTCGAGTCATTACCTTGTGATTGCGGAGAAGCCAGGGAGAGGAATGAAATCCGGCCTCGTTACTCGCTTTGGTTTGTCTTTACGCTTATGTGCCGAAGATTGGGGTTGGAGTTGGGGTTGAGGGCGGGGGGGGGGCGGGAATTGGAAAGGTGAATTTTTCCATGCAGTTTGGATCAGCATTCCATGCTTTTGCAAAGTTACAATGAACTGTTGCACAGACAGCAGGCAGAGCAGAAATTCGGCTTTTCACCTGCAGCACTGACAAGCACGCAGGCAGCAGCTGGGACTGGTGCTGGCTGTGTGATGCAGACTGTTAGCGTTTCATAATCGGATCCGGCCCCGGATGTTCAGTATTCTGATCCACTCCAGGTTTTGCCAGTTGTGGGCACGTTCGGTGAGCTAAGACTAGACATATTTCAACATCTTATTTCGATCTCAGAACTTTACTGGGAGTGCATTGTTATGGACAGATGTGCCATGATATCCAAATGCGCTTTCCTGCTTCAATAGAGCTCCACAGCTGGTAAAACCTGAAATGGATCTTTGACTGCTGCGCAGCCGGAATCGGATTGGCTTCCCCGCGATCATCAGCTCTTATCCTCATCCTGTGTGAGTTGCAGTCCTGTTTTCCTGTGCGTGTGGGTTTTTTCTAGTCCTTTGGGCATTTGCAGGCCTGGGAACACCGATCGGCCAATCAGCGTGCTGCATGGTGACGTCGCATTTCCTGTAGCGCTGGCCTGTGGCTCTGAAGCTTTAATCTCTTCAGGGGAACTTCAGGGCTTCTTGGGGGAGGGGTGGGCAGTGGGCAGTGGGCGGGGCAGCTGATTCCGGTCAAATGCTCATCTTGTATAACTTGTATAACCCTCATGGGGACTCGTCCCCCTCCAGTGACAATCGGCTCCAAAAGCCTCTGTCTCCCATCACTGCTTTTACCTCTCCTTTCAGAAATAGCCAACGGAGTTGATGAGAAAGTGTAGGGAAGCAGCCAGACCTGAGGGAGGGAGAGAGAGAGCTCTGCACGTCAGTGTGTTTCCAACTGCTATTAGAAATATTTAATACTTCAGAGCAGCGACAAATGAGAGGAGACCGTGTGGCCAGTCGAGCTTGTTTTGTGATCGGGCAGCGGGTGTTGTGGTGACAGGAGGCGTGTCTTTACACAAAGGGCTGTGGGAGAGTGGAGCACGCCGCCCGGCGGCGGTGTTGAGGCCGATTCCCAGCTGGCTGAGCTCCAGGTATCCGTTTGTTCTCACGAATGACCGGGCCCAGAGGCGCTGAATGGCCCCTCTCATTTGTGAGCTCTCTTACCTAGTGGATGTCAAAGCGGGGGCAGAGAAAGATGCTGCTTAGAGAGAGTGCACTGTGTCTAGATTACGCTGTTACAAATAACCTGGTGACAGGCGTGGATTGCAGATAATAGACGTGTTTAACTGATGCCTTCATCTCTGTATTCTGGCAATTCATTCAAATGTAGTAATTCCTTTACCTTTACACATTCAGGACTGGTGGCTGATTTTATTTTCAAAACGAAAACGTCTGTGACCAAGTCACAGGAGGGGACCTTTGACCCCCCCCCGGCCCAGACAGAAGCAACAGCAGCAGCCGTGCGCTGATCCGCACACACGACCAGGAGGACTAGAACAGGAAGACTCTCATCCTCCGGTGCTTGCTTGACCAGTCGCTGAGTGAAGGGTCACACTCACTAAACCTGTTGGGTCATTTCAGGAAGAGCGCCTGTACCTGCAAGTACGCAATGACATTTCTCAATATTAAAAGGGGCCCTCCAGAACACAAATATGTAGAAAAAAGTGAATCCCATTAAATCATTTGGAGAGCCTGACAAGTAAAGATGTTTAATATCATTCCGACAGGCATACAGTATACGAGCCCTTTAAATGTATTCTAGTGTTTAAGATACATGTGTTTCAATATGTCAATGAATCTCTTGTTTTTAAATGTTTAAATATTTTCAAGCTTTCTACGATTAGATCTCTCATGGGAGAATTAAAAATAAGTATGTCTCTCAACTCCTTAGCACTTTTGGCCTGATAGCAAGAGCTTTGTGTGCCCGCATGTATGTGAAAAGCCATTTTGAAAGACAGGTGCTGCCTGCTCTGGAGAGCTCCGAGGAGCAGGGCACAATGGTGTTTTCCTGCCAGACAGTGGAATCTGTTTGGCCATCGGTTTATTAGTAAGAAATACATTATAAAAACTATTGAAGATCGGAAACCAGTAAGACATTTGTTTAAAAAAAAAAGAACAAGGAGTTCCTCTGTTGTCTTGGCAGGGAAATGTCATGGTACCTTTCCTGGAAAACCGTCTCGGAGGCAAGAGCGACTGACAAAGTCGGAATGGCAGTGACAGGAAGTGGAGGGGGGAAGGGATTCGATGTTACACCCCTCAATGTGCGTCAGATCAGCACAGCCTCCTCTTATCTGTTATCAGGGGCACCTTGTGAACAAAATAGGGTAGATTTGTAATACAACCAATTGAACAGGTTGTGCAGAAAGGTTAAGAGAGAACACAGAAATGGCACAACCTCTTTAACACAAACAAGCAGCTGCAGATCCATTGGATTCACTCACCTGTTTTACTCATTGAATGTATCTGCTGTATGTATATTTTTCTGAACTGAAAGGGTGGGAGAACTGCCTTTCAAAAAAAAATGTCTAAATTGTTTGAGAATGTGGGGCAAACTAACTGTAAAAGAAAAAAATGTTTTTTGTGTGTTTTATACGGTAGTTGTTTTCTCTTGTGTGACGGGACCAATAGAGCTAACCTGTAGAAGTCAGGCTCACGGCAAGATTGACACAAAAAGATACATCATCCTCAGCTCAAATATTTCTATGCAGTACAAAAAAGAAAAAGTTTAAAATATTATAAAATTGCACATTGATTGTTCTTAATTAATATTCTGCTTTTATAGGTTGTGTTAATTTCTATTTTTGATTGAGACTTCTTTGTTAAAAAAAACTAAATTCTGTGCTTTACATTTTCATACTTGAATAAAGGACTGCTGTTCTGGTGCTGCTGTGTAGGAGTGTCACTTGATAACAGGTGTGCTTTGTTCTTGGGGGTGATCTGTGGGGTGACTGCTTTGAAGGTCTGCCCTTGTCTACCCAAGAGCAGCATCTGAAACCCTGATGCTGGGGATCTCCAGGGTGGTCAATCCAGGGATCTCCAGCCCTGATCCTGGAGAGCTCCAGGGTGGTCAAGCCAGGGATCTCCAGCCCTGATCCTGGGGAGCTCCAGGGTGGTCAATCCAAGGATCTCCAGCCCTGGACCTGGAGAGATGGAGACTACCAGACTGGTCATATTAAGGATCTCCTGGGATGGAACTGGATACCCCCAGACTGACCAGATTGGGGCTGTATTAGAGCAGTTGGAGACCCCCAGACTGGTCATATTAGGGCTCTACTGGAATGGGGTTGGCGACCCCCCTGACTGGCCAGGTTGGGGCTCTACTGGAATGGGGTTGGCGACCCCCAGACTGGCCAGATTGGGGCTCTACTGGAATGGGGTTGGAGACCCCAGACTAGTCGCATTGGAGCTCTACTGGAGCAGGGTTGGAGACCCCCAGACTTGTTGTCGATGACTCATGAATGTTGGAATAGATGGCCTGCCGCCCCCTTGTGGGGATGAGGAGAAGGTCGTTTTCAGGAAATGAAAGAGACCCACAGTCCCTAGGGGACAGACACCCTGCCTCACTCTGCTGACCCCAGGCTGGGGGGGGGAATTCCTGCAGGTTGTATAGGTACTTTTCAATAAGGAACAGATTGAAAACAGGCGATTTGATCTGAGAAACCTTTTTGTCCATTGGACTATCCCAGGGTAATTAAGATCAGGAATCCAGTGAGGACTTGGGATTTCCTGAATGGAGACATCCATTCCTCATTCAGGTGTGAATGATCCCATCTTGCTCCAAGAGTCCAGGCCCAACAGCGGGGCCTTTAGCCCTGCTGCTTCACACTGGAGATCCTTATGTGTGGAGTTTGCATGTGTCCCCATGGTTCCTTCCCCTTCCCAGAGAGTTGGCAGGTGGGTTGAATGGAGTGTGCCCTGCGCTGGACTGGTGTCCCGTCCGGAGTATGGTCCCTCCTGCTGCCCTGTGCTGCCGGCCTGGTCAGCAGTGTGGGGTGGCCATCAGAGCTGTGGAGCCCTGAGTGGGAGGGTGTCAAGCCACCCACTGGGTGACTGCTGTTGCACCCTGGAGCGAGGCATTTCACGCACACTGCCCCGCTGCACAGACGGGAACCCTCTCCTGTCGTGACCGGAATTGATCGTGTATTCCCACCTGTCTTGTGTCTGGTGAAACCGCACCGCGAGATTAAGCGCTCGGCTGGGCAGCAGATCTATTTCTGTCTTCCGAGCGCGGGTGCGCAACCGCGCCATCTGCAGACACGCACGACCGCTTCAGCGCAAGGCGTCGACGTTCATTTAATCCACTGTTCTCTTTTCTCACGGGGCCGTGGAAACTCCCACTTATGTTCTTTTTTATGCCCTGGGAAAGTTTCAGAGGAGAAACTCCCAAAGCCCCGTCTGTTTTTTTCTTCCTCCTTTCACACGACGCGTCGCCGCTCGGAAGGGCGGCCCAGTCGGGATCCTGCGGGCTTCTGCCCGGCCCGCCCCGGCTCGGATCGGATCGGCCCGGTCCCGGGGCCTGGTGTGTGAATTCGCCGCTGGATCGATGTGAAAGAAGCTGGTCATAATAAGCGAATGGGACCGCTCCTCCACAGTGCCTAAAACCGCCCCTCCACGTCCTGAGCAAGACTGACCAATTCATGTCCCCGAAGACTTTATTTTTCGCCGTCATTTTTTTAACATTAAAGGGGTTAGGCGTCGCTTATCACGTTATGTGTAGCGCTAGTGTGGGCAACGAAACTGCACGTTTTTAACAGAAAGTTTATTTTTTTAACTGGTTTATTTAGAAACCAGTGTCAATTATGGAATAGATGTATTTGCTGCCGCCTACTTTTTCATCAGGTCAGTCCGGATTTTGGCGGTTGGAGAACTGGGTTCACAATACAGCTGTCTGGGTAGACAAGAGGACGATAAATCATTGTGTCGCCCCGGGCTGAAGGTCATTATTCACAAAGCGTTTCCACTCATTCGCTGCGAGCGGTATCTTTAACGGAGGCCGTAGACTCCAGATAAGCAGTGAAAGCGATGAACCGTGTTTTGTTCACGCGGAGTGTCGTGTTATCAGTTCGTACAGGTTAAATTCGTCGAATGCAACAGGCAGGAATACAACAGGTGGCGTTTTATTTTGTTTAATCCTTTTGTCACGCTCAAACCCCACCACTGCGCCTGAACTTCGGACCCCTTGTCAACAGCAGAGATTGAACCCCACAGTTACACGCAGGTATTATCCCGACACCACACAGAGCACGCGTCAAACAGGCGGGACGAAGCCGTTGGGCCCGTTTGGTAATCAGGAGTTTGGATATCGCCCAAGTCGTTCCTGGAAAGAAGTCACTTCCACTACATGGCTGGGCAGTTTGTTCCACACTCCCACTGCCCTTTGTGTAAAGAAGTGCGTCCTGTTCTCATTTTCCCATGTACTTCCACACAGTTTCCTCGTGTGCCCGGTGGTTCTTGTCTCACGGTTTCACTTGTGGCACTGAAGACCTCCCCTAGACTACCCGTCAGCGTCTTTGAATATTTTGAAAACTTGCATCGGGTCTGCTCGTGGTATTTTCTCTTCACGACTAAAAACGAAGCATCCTATATATAGAAAGCAGCGTTGGCTGTATCTACACACCCTGTGCTTCGAGGCCACTGCGTCTGTTTCGTTTGAAACGAAAAGGCAATTGAAATGTAACTGAATGGATCACTTTTTGTTTGAGTTTTTTTTTCCATAACTACAAACATTCCCGACAGTCTGTGAAACGTTTTTGGGAGCGATGGAAAGAAAAAACCCGCCACATTTCTGACTTAATGCAGGTTGAGGCATTTTAGAGTTTGCGTCATTTCCAAAAGTATATTTTCGCTGGAAAACCGGTTTCTCACGGCCTGTTTTCCGATTATGACGTTTCAGAATAGGTTTTCAGACCCCGTCTGAGTGGCTGCTGCCCCCTACTGGCTAAACGCTGCAGCTGCGCCGGTCAGTCCGGTGTCAACGGCTCCCATCGGCTATCAATTAGAATCTGCTTGATTGTCCTCACACAGGGTTTGTCATCACCGGGACAACAAAGATAGCATATATACAGCGTACATAAAACACCCAGTAGGTTTTATAGATCTATACAATTCTGTAATATAAATAACAATACAGTAAAAAAAAAAAACACGATTCAAATGTGAGGCACAGGACTCGGGTGTGAGCTGCATGCTTTTACACGCTGTCAGTGCAATGCTCTGAAGGGGCTGGAAGGAATGACTATATTCAAGCAATTCAGATTGGAGATAAATAGATTAATATGAGACAAAAGTACAGCATGTCACCGTTTATTTCTGGGTATTTCAGTGCTTGTGTGTGATACCATTTTAGAATAATAGTACTTTTTATGGTCAATACCCCTATTTTAGCTGAGTAGAAGTATTGGGACAATTGGTCGCCAGGTTTTTCTTATCAGGTTGATGTTTACTGTTGCACCGATTCTGCACATTAAAGAGCTGTGAGTGTGTAGTGTTGATTTAGCCTTCACTCTTCCCCTTGCTGTCGGCCTTTAGAGGCTGTTGGCCTAAACCAACATGAAGACCAGAGAGCTGTCTGTGAAAGAAAGCAAGCAATTTGGATGCTGAAAGAAAAGAAGAACTCAACCAGAACCACAGCACAGAAACTGGGCATAGCAAAATCGGCAATCTGGAATATCTTGAAATGGAAAAGAACACTGTTGTGCTTCGCAAAAAGCAAGAACCGGGCCAACCAGGGGAAACAGCTGCAGTTGATGATAGAAAAATCATCAGAGCTGTGACGAAAAACTCTGTGAAATTGAAATTGCCAGCAATCTCCACTGTGCAGGGGTGAGAGTATCACAACCTGGAAGAGGTGTTAGTGGGGCCAGCAGGGGGCGCTCACCCTGCAGTCCATGTGGGTCCTAATGCCCCAGTATAGTGACGGGGACACTGTACTGTAAACAGGCGCCGTCCTTCGGATGAGACGTAAAACCGAGGTCCTGACTCTCTGTGGTCATTAAAAATCCCAGGGCGCTTCTCGAAAAGAGTAGGGGTGTAACCCCGGCGTCCTGGCCAAATTTCCAATTGGCCCTTACCAATCATGGCCTCCTAATAATCCCCATCTATGAATTGGCTACGTTACTCTGCTCTCCTCCCCACTGAGAGCTGATGTGTGGTGAGCGTTCTGGCGCACTATGGCTGCTGTCGCATCATCCAGGTGGATGCTGCTCATTAGTGGTGGTGGAGGGGGATCCCCATTACCTGTAAAGCGCTTTGAGTGAAGTGTCCAGAAAAGTGCTATATAAGTGTAAGCAATTATTATTATTATTATTATTATTATTATTAATCTACTTTTCCCAGGAGGATTATAAAAGCTGCACCACAAGATGCAAACCTCTCATCAGTACCCAAAATAGAAAGGCCAGGTTACAATTTGCTGGAAAGTACAGAGAGGAGCCAGTAGAGTTCTGGAACAAAGTGCTGTAGACAGATGGGACAGATGGGACAGATGTCTACGAGAGTGATGGCAAGGTGCAAGTGTGGAGACCAGAACAAAGGGCAGACGATCCGAAGCCCATAGTCCCACTTCCCTGTGAGCGTGCTGGAGGTGGTGTGGGGGCTTGGGCATGCAGGCCGCCCCTGGAACTGTCTCACTCGCCTTTATTGACGACGTAACCAGTGATTGTAGCGGCAGAATGACTTCACAACTGTGTAGAAACATCCTGTCTGCCTGTGACAAAAAACTGCCTCCACACTCATTGGCCTGCACTTCCTCACACAACACGACAGTGACCCAAAACACACTGCCGACGCCACCAAGGAGATCATCAGGAGAGAAACAGAGGAGAGTCTTAGACTGGCCATGTCAGGCTCCCCATTCACATCCAATCAAGCAGACATTTCACTTGTGGAACTGAAGTCCGAAAGCCCCTAAAACAAACAGCAAAGGCTTGGCAAAGCATCTCGAATCAACACACCCGGAGTTTGGTGATGTCACAAGTGTTGCAGGATTGATGCAGTTATTGTGTCCAAAGGATTTGTAACTAAATACTAAGTTTTATACTGCTTTGAGTTAATTTGTCCCAATATGTACGCTCACCTAAAATGGGGGAATGGACCACAAAACGTCTTAGAAGTATACCACGGTACAACATAAAAGCACAAAAATACCCAGAAATAAAAGGGAAAATGCTGTACTTTTGCCCCATAGTCAGCTTTTCATCCCAATTCCGAATCACCTGAGTATACAGCACAAATCGCCATTTTGACTTCACTGTCCCAATACTTTTGGAGGGCACCGTATGGTCCACGACCCACACCTAAACCCTAAAAAAAAAAGGTTAAAAAAAGCACTTCTGTAAGCTGGGGATCGAACTACAGGCGCTCGCCGGCCGGGGAGTTTCGTGCGCTGACAGAAAGGCGAAAGTTATCCAGCTACTGAAAATGAAACTTCGCAGCAGGAAATCACCCAGACCGCGTGCCCAAGCTGCCAACCCTGCAGCCCGATCGCAACAGAGAGGGCGCCGCGAGGAGGAGGACCTGCGGCTCGCTTCGCCTCCGACACGGTTTGAGAGACGCGGAAAGAGCATCGCTTTGAAGGGGAGGGCGGCCGACGCCACACCGGAGGGCAGAAAACTGCTTGGTAACTCAGGCCGGGGACGTGTTTGGCGCAAAGCGCTGGCAGACTGGAGGCAGGGCTCTCGTTTCCTCTGGTCGAGGTGTGCACACCTGTGGACCTGTCTCCGCTTTGAAATCTCGCTGCCTGGCCGATCCCGTTCAAAGATTACAACAACAACAACAACAACAACAAAACGGGACATTACTAAAAACGTGCGTGTCGGGGGTCGGAGTTTCGCGACGACACTGTGACGCCGGATGAGATCGACTTTTACGGCCTCGGCAACTTCTCCACTCAGCGGCGCGTTCCCAAATCCCCAAGCTTCAGCCCGGCCGGTGCTGCCGCTGCTGCCCGCTCCCATCCCCACTCGTGTGCGCGACGGAGAGGATGAACTGGCCTGCGCCGGCGGGCGAGTCGCCGAGCCGGGGCGCCTGCTCTTTCCCCGGAGCCGGCTCGCTGAGTCCGGCGCCCGGGGAGGACTACTGCTGCATCTGCATGGACGGGATCAGAGAGAAGAAGACCCTGGAGAAGTGCCGGCACTCGTTCTGTCGCCCCTGTATCGACCAGGCCTTCCAGTTCAAGGCGGCCTGTCCGGTGTGCCTCACTTTCTACGGCACGCAGATCGGGGACCAGCCGCGGGGCGGGAGCATGGCCGTGACCCGCTGGACCAGTCGCCTGCCGGGGTACGAGCCGTACGGCACCATCGTCATTGACTACACTATCCCGTCTGGAGTTCAAGAGGTGAGGCGGAGAGGTCGCACTCGGCTTCTCTCTCGGGGTGCGGGGGGGGGGGGATAAGATTTCCGTTTCACGAGGATCGCGACTGATCAGGTCTTGTTTCAGGTCAGCGCCGCTCACGCTTAGCGTTGATGTTTCTGAGCAAACAAGATCTATACCGGTAGAGAGGCCTTGAGCGTGGTGCGATTTTTGGGAGTGAAGTATTGGCTTTTTCACTCCACAAATACGGGTTGTACAGGCTGTCAGAGCGCGTCTGCCATCGCAGCACAAACACCAGTACTCCCAGTTAGCGGGGAAGCCCTACTGAGGCTGGCCATCTGGTGTCTGAGGCACAAAGGAGACGGGACAGGGACTGACTCGCCATCCCAAATGCGCAGCACCCGCCTCTGGCCGCTGCAGGGAACCTGCAGCTCGCAAAACCAGGAGTGGATCAGCCCCTGGGCCCGGGGTTTCTTGTCATGTGTTATTGTAGCTGCTGCAGCAGTTCAGCTGTGTCACCAGATCATACCTTCATCCCTTGACATCGCATCTTCACATCACTGCCAGTAACCGCTGGTCCAATTCAGGGTCAAGCATCCTGGCCAGCTACTGGCACAGGGCAGGCTACGCCTTGGACAGGACGCCAGTCCCTCGCAGGACACACACAGACACACACACTCACACCAGGGCCCGTTTCCCCAGAAGCCAATTAACCCGCCAGCATGTCTCTGGACCGTGGGAGGATACTGGAGCACCTGGGTATCCCACTGCGAACACGGGGGTAACACGCAAACTCCACACAGACCGCACCCGAGAAATCGAACCCAGGGCCCCCAGCGCCGGCAGGCGGCAGGGCTGACCACTCTGCCAACCTGCCTCCATCGGTTGTCGGATTAAATCCCTGTCCGGTGTCTCCGCAGCGGGGGCACCCCAATCCGGGCGCGGGCTTCACCGGGACGTCCCGCAGGGCGTTCCTGCCGGACTGCGCCGACGGGCAGCGGGTGCTCCGGCTGCTGCAGAGGGCCTTCGAGCAGCGGCTGACCTTCACCGTCGGCACGTCGGCCACCACCGGCCTCAGCAACGTGGTGGTCTGGAACGACGTCCACCACAAGACCAGCACGCACGGGGGACCCCAGGGGTACGCCAGCGCCAGCGTGCTCGTCGTAGTCCGTCGTGACTTCATTCCAATAACCAGTCCTTCTGTGCACAGTTTGTAGCGCCTTTCGTCCCCGGGGGACCCCTTGTCACTTCAGCACCCCCTCTTGAATCTCGGATCACACCTGTGTCAGTGCTGAGCTGTCATCAGCTGTTCACACACAGGAGGGGAGCTGCTGGAGAGCAGCCCCGCTGCACAGCAGCTCGGGGCAGGAGAGAGACACTGCTGCTCCAGGGGGTGAAGGGAGGACAGACTGTGCAGGAGCAGAGTGGGGTTTATCCAGGACACTGGGGTGACACCCCCACTCTTACAAACAGATCCGGGGATCCTTATCGAGCCCTTACTCGGGGCCTCGTGTCATCTAAGGGACAGCGCCTCCTACAGCACAGTGTTCCCTGTCACCACACTGGGGCACTGGTCTGGGAATACAGAGCCGTACAAAGAGCGCCCCCTACTGGTCCTCCAACACCACATGCAGCGGCATCCGCATTGAACTTGGTCCACTAACCTCTGGGTTGTCAGGGCAGGCTGCCGCTGGGATTCCTCTTAGGGTGGCGACTCGAGCTGACTGCCTGGCACACAGTCCTTGAGCAGGGCTCCTGTGTTTGTAGGCACGAACTGTACAGATCCTCTCAACCTGTCTGTCTGTCTGTCTGTCTGTCTGTCGACAGGTTTGGGTATCCAGACCCCGGTTACCTGCTGAGAGTTCAGGAGGAGCTGAGGCTGAAGGGGATCACCGAGGACGACCTCAGTGCTGGCCTGGAGAAGGTGTGTCTGGGGGGCCCTGACCGGGCCGGGCCAGTCCAGCAATGAGCCCCGGCACCAGGAGCTGTGAGGCAGCAAAGCTCGGGTGTCACCGAGCAGCACAGCACGGAGAGGGATGCTTTCGCGGTGCAGGAGCTCGAGTCGCCTGGCGGAGCTGCCCTGACCTAGACCGGGACTGATCGTGAACCCCACTGCTCGCGGGGCAGGCCGGAGCAGATGTGAAGCTGGCAGGGTGGGAAAAGGCTCTGTTCCTTTCACGAGGGCCAGAGCTGCAACGGGGTGCATTTTCTCCTGTAGGCTGATAGAGACTCGGGGTTACCCGACTGTGTGGTCAGGCCACAGGGCGCCCCCACCTTTGCCTTGTGCCCCACAGATGGGTTTTGTTTTCTTTGCCCAGACTAAAGCAGCAGTTGTCGACCCCTGGGACTGAGGAGATGCCCCAAGAGAGTCAGGTGAAACCCCCCCATCCAGAGAGCAGCCGGGACCCTCCGGCCCAGAGAGCGCAGGTTCAGTTTGGGTGAATATCACTGGCCGACTGTGCCCGTTAGAAAAACACCAGGTCGGGCCAGATCCAGATTTTCGAGCTCTCTTTAAATCAGCTGTATCTGAAGACCTGGGAAGATGACTAACGTCCGGTTGAGCCTGGAGCGGAATGAGCTGGGCTGGAAAGAAATCCCGTTGGACTGTGGAAATCCAGGATTGGACTAGGCTGTCCTGGGATCAGGGAGTCATCAGTGTTTGCATTTTGCCATTCCTGTCTGTGCTACAATAAAACAAAAAGTATGAAAATCACAGGTTACGTCTCCTAAAGAACTGGTATGCATCTGCCAGTATAACATTAAACATCTTTATTTACTTGTCAGGCTCTCCAAATGACTAAATAGGATTCACTCATATTCTAAATATTTGTATTCCAGAGGTCATACTCAATTGAGTTGTCAATTCGGAGGTTAAGGACACTTGCTGTTACTGAAATGACCAAACCAGTTCAGAGTCCACTCAGTGGTCAGGCACACTTTAGGGAAGCAATGTTTCTCTGTTGTAGTCTGCGGAATCATATGTGCAGACTGGCACTCTGTTGCTGTAGCTTGAGAGTGCAGGCTGTTACCTGCATGAATTGATTGGTCATGTCTGTGCTGAAGGTCAAAGGTCACTTCCTGTCATTTCAGGCCTCTGACACATCTGGAATGACAGGCCCAAGTTCCCAGTTTGTAAACCTATTAAAAGTCTCCTTCAGATGGCAAATAACAATCAAATTGTAATAAATCAATTTGAATAATAAACATTTTCATATTACATTGAGAAGTATAAATTAACTCTGTAAAATTAATTCAGCAAAACTTCAGTTAGTGTTAATTAAACAATTAATCTAATTTATTAATTAGACAATAAAGACACTGTCTTAAGGTCTATTATAGTTGATGACACATGACAGTAATTAAAGGTCCAGTCACCTGTAAATTGTCTCAGTGCCAGGAAAGGTATATTAACAGTTATGCTGTTAATTAAATAATTTGAATTAGAATTGAAAACAAGAACTTGGTCATCCAGGGTGGGAGTCTGACTACCCTGGTATAGAACTTCAAAATAACTTTCGACTTTTAAGTGAAGTGATGGATTTCAGCCATGTGGAACTACCAGATTTACTCTTACTAATAGTATTAATATTTGCTGTGCAGATATCCTTGTCTAAAGCAGCTTACTGAGACGATGTTCATGCAGTCAGTCCAAGGCACAGTGGTGCTGATACAATAGGGACATAAATGTATATTAATAAATCAATACCTTAACCCCTGACCTTCCCATCCCTGCCAGTACAGGGCTTTGTTGGAGGAGGTCGCTTAATTGGATAAATGAATTGGAGGATCAGCGTGTTCAGTAACTAATGACCCTTTTCTCCACTGCCGGAGACTGAAGTGTGTAGAAAGTCTGCCAGCACTCCAGTGTGTAAAATCAACACTCTCACACAGAGAATATCCAACAAATAGTGCAGCACTGCTCAAGTCTGGAGGATCGGTCAGAGAGAATTCTGTACGCTGATCGCAGATAACCGGTTGCCTTGCAGTTCCTTTGATCCTTTACAAGAAATAGTGGTGTTATTTATAATAATTAGGAACAGGTAAAGGTTTATTCCATGCTGAAAAGAGAAGAAATGAAACAACTTTGGAGCCAACTGGAGCCTTCTTCGGGTGTCTATGACGTCGTGTTTCTAAAATGAGTTTCTTTACTTGTCTTTTCAGCATGGAATAATCCTTTACTTGTTCCTCTGCAGCCTAGGTATGCTGACGCAGCTCCCTACTTGAACTACGTTCCAATAATTACACATTTCAGATCTGATTTTGTGTTTGGAAAGGGGTGGGCCCTGTTCGGAGACCGCGAGGAGCTCCTTACTCTCCGATACTTGAATAAAAAGCCACTTCTTGGGTCTGTCCAGCAGGGGGCGATGTCCACGTGGGCGCACGCACGTGTGTGTGTGTGTGCACAGCGCAGTACTGTGTGTGTGTGTATATGCAGACATTCTCGGCAGCCATGAAGCACAGCAGCCCTCTCCCATCTCCCAGCCCGCGCTGCTGAAGACAGATCTGTTTTCTTCAGAGAGGATGAGTCATGTGTCTCGTCTGGGCTCCACATCCACTGTGCGTTCCCTCCGTCTCCAGAACACCCATACTTAGAACAAGACCTCAAAAATCCGAAGAACAGTGGCAGCACTAATTATAATTAATTATACTCACACAACACTGTTCATCCCAAGGGATCCCACAGTGGTTGACACTTCCAAAGCGAACTGCTTTATTCCTGCTTTTCCCTACCATGTCTGTCTTTTCTCTGTCAATTTCCTTTTCAGCTGCAATAGGTTTCCTCTTGCAGAGAAACCGACCAGACTCCTGTTGCACAGCAGTTTGATCCACTCCGGGATTTACTGGTTGCAGGGTGCTTGCACAGCTTCATGTTCATTTTTGTGATATTCCCCTTTCTAATAGAAAACTGAGCACAACTGCATATTCTGTTGTGCTCTTTTGTCACTGGCAAAATTTCTGTTGGTTTGAACTTGAACTTTATTGCCATGTGTAACCGGTACATGTACTGATACAGTGGAATTCTTACTGACAGAAAGTCTCTCGATTGTTCAAAAAGTGTAAAAACACAGTGCATCAAGACAGTATACAAACAAACAGTAGACAACATACAAGTAAACAGTTTGTAAACAATGCAGACATGTGCAATAAATAAGAAATCATAATGAGGTAGATCGTGTAGGTGTGGTGTAGGTGTGGTTTGCACACTGTGTGAGACATACAGATGCCACAGGAGAGCGTTGTCCCAGTATCCACATTTTTCCTTTTCCGTGTCCAGTACAAGTGAGGAGGACTGGGCATGATAGTATAGGATTATCAAGCAACACTGGGCACTGGTTGTCTTATTTAAATGACGTGTTCATCCTGTTCCTCGGGGACTCCAGTGTTTCCTGGTTTGCCCTCTGTCCGGAAGCTCTAGTACTTGATGAATGGACCCCTTAATAACAACCTAGTTCTCTTCGTCTTTCAGAGCATATGCTCTGTGTTCAGTTTCCAAGGTGTGCCCAGATGTGCCCTGGTTGCACAGGTAAACCAGGATTGCAGAGAGCAGTCCAACTGGCAGTTAATTTAATGAAGGGGATTTGAGCAGGTTATTAGTTCCATGGTGAGCTAGGTTTAGGAAGTAAAAGCTCCAAGCTGGAATATTTCAGAAAGCATAGTGGCACTGGCTAGCATTGGCCCTGGTGTGAGTGTGAGTGTCTGTGAGTCTGCCCTACGATAGACTGGCATGCTGTCCAGAGTCCTGTGTATCCTGTCTTGTGTTCGTTGCTGCTGGGATAGGATCCAGCTCCTCAGCAGCCCTGAATTGGATAAAGTGGTTAGAAGATAAGATGGATGGATCTGGATTCACCTATGCAGTGCCCAGGTGGAAGAGCAGTCATCCTGATCTCCCTCTGTGACCACTGTTAAACACCGCAACCTGCCACCCCCCTTTCCTTTCCAGGTATCTCCCCTGAAGGCCCAATGAGCTCGCCAGCAGGGGGCAGCAGAGAGCCTTAATCAGGCCTTGACTTCCAGTCAGGGGGTGAAATGACCCCTGTGCCCCCTGCTCCCCAAACTAAAAACAGATGAGCTGTTGGTGAAATGTCTGGAGCTACAGAGAACAACCTGAAGTCCAACTGCATGGAAAAGCCGCCTTTTGATAAAGATGATAAGTAAAATCTCCATTCCTCTGAGCGGCTCTTACACACATTCCAGCTTGCCTGAGGTTTCCCGCGATCGTTCCCATGATTCTGCTGCTCGGTGCTTTACAGTGCTCGGATACGGTGAACGTTACGCGTATTCCGGTGCGGTGTGCTCTTCTACAAGCGTCTCCAGCTGTGTCCCAAGAACAGCTGTGGAGGCAACAGCCAGAACCGACAGTACCCCTCGTAGTAATCAGCTGTGTAGCAGGCGCTCTTGTGGGGTTCAGCGTGTCTCTCAGGGAGGTGCACAGCGAGGCGGTGGATTTGAACCTGCAACCACCCCATAACAAGCAATGTGCTTTAACTCCCACCCCTCGCTGTAGCAACCAGCAGGCTCTTGCAGGACTTTCTGATCTTTCCACTGGAGGGCACGAGTATTCCAGAGAGGTGGTGAAAGTTTTCGGCATTGATGGTCCAAGCACAGAGTCTGGGGGAGATCTGACCTGGAGAGATTAAGAGCAATTACAGCATCTTCTTGTAACACATTAGTGCAGTGGAATACATATCTATTTGTACTGATCTCTCTTGTAATAATCCTACCACCCCCCCCCCCAGAAAAAACTCTCCACTTGGGGGAATCGTACTATGAATATCAGCTTTCTGCTTGAACGTCTGCGTCTGGCCCTTCTTGCCTGATGCTCAAGATCTGGCCCCAGCAGATGGTGGTGTGTTTGTGCCTGGTATGTATTGTGCTTGGTGTTAAGCAGATTTCTTACAAATTTCTTCATGCAAAGCTGCTCCTGATATCGATGATACGACTCCAGCAAAAATTACTGCTACTTGTAATAATTGTTATACAAGGAAGTATAACCTTCCCATATTCCCAACCTTTTCCCATACTTCTGTCATGCTGACAAATGCTAGCCAGACTTTCACTTGCTTTACTGCGGCCGTTCTGTGGATGAGGCAGAAGAATCAAGGTGATAGTTCTCTCCCCTTTGTAACCTCAAACACCCCAGTGTGATTATTTCACATGTGACTCCATTTCACGTAGCACAGCACTGTTTTTCAAAAGGGGTTACCTGGGGCCAGCTGGCCTGAGCACAGCCTGAAGAGCAGAGCAGATAAGGAGATTAAAGGTTTCAGCCACAGCAGATCGCTCGCTGGAACGCTGGGCTACAGTGGTGAAGAGAGGGCAGCCTTTTCTTCGGCAGTACAGAGCTGACAGGACTGGCTTCCAGAGAAGGAAGGCGAAATGGCATCGATGGCTAAATCCCATATTTCACATAATTTACCAGTAATCCCTTGCAATTATGGATGGCCTTTCATCGCAACGTGGGCAAACATGCAAACTCCACACAGACAGAACTGCAAGTCGGGAGCTGAACCCCAGGACCCCAGCAAAGCTAACTGCTGTGCCACAGCGCCGCCCCTTTTCACAAACATTTCTCCCTTAAAATCTGGAATGACTGGAAGAAGAGTACAGTCTCTCGCCAGCGAGGTCAGAGGGGCACCGTGGGTTTATACACCACATTAAGAAACCCGCTGCCTAGGCTTTGGCATCACAGAATCAGATTGCTGGAGTCCCTAGGT